AGTCCTCCAGTAACCCAAGGCAGTCCTCCAGTAACCCAAGGCAGTCCTCCAGTAACCCGAGGCAGTCCTCCAGTAACCCGAGGCAGTCCTCCAGTAACCCGAGGCAGTCCTCCAGTAACCCGAGGCAGTCCTCCAGTAACCCGAGGCAGTCCTCCAGTAACCCGAGGCAGTCCTCCAGTAACCCGAGGCAGTCCTCCAACAACCCGAGGCCCTCCAACAACCCGAGGCAGCCCTCCAACAACCCGAGGCAGTCCTTCAGCAAGCCATAACTCTACTGTTTACACAATAGACAAATCTTCACCAATAATAAGACACCAGAAGCCTCAGACAGCGAGCAGTCCAACAACTGCTCCTGGAGAGCAGGAAGCATCAGCATAGTTACAAATATTATCGCGTCCTACGAGGTAATGTTGCCACTGTCTGGAGGTAAACTCAACATCTGGAAAGAAACGTAGAGTCAGGGCTCTGGAGCAGAGCTTCTGGAATCTCGTGGTACTGTAGATTGTGTACAATCACCTCGTTTATTTTACGTTAGTAGCTTAATTGTTGCGGTATCGTAGTGCTGAATTTAGCGTTGTCTGTTCGCAAGTCTCTCAGACTCCGAGAGGTTGATTGATGAAGCTTACGCCAGCTAAGAGGTGGCACGGGCATGAATAGCCCGTAACTGGAAGGTGGTTTGTTGTTGTTTCAGATTTAGCTACGCAGAACGAAATGTCCATGTAGCACGGGCTATGGTGATCCCGTAGTACCTTACCTGGCACAGGAGCGGGGCTGTAACCGAGAGGTGGTGGTGGTGGCCTATCCTTATGTAGTGCCCAAGCGGTTCCCGTTACCTCTTCCCATTCTTATTACATTGAATTGGTTTGAGTTAAAGTTCAATAGCCATCTCCGCTCCGAAAGTCGTCCAAGTCTTCCCCTGGAACATTCTACTGTCTGCCTGTCCATTATTCTCATTAGATTAGCGTCACGTGGGAGCAGCCACGTGAAGAACTCAACTACCATATTCACATGATATATAATAGATCAGGGGACATAACACTATGCACTCATTCAGCCCCGCTCCTGTGCCAGGTAAGTCCACTACGGGCTCACCATAGCCCGTGCTACTTGCAACTTGTTCCGAGTAGCTGAATCTATAACAACATAACACTATGTAATGACGCTTGTGGGAGAATTTGGATTAATCTCCTTAACTATTTTCTTCTCAATCAATATTTTCTTTCTCTTAGGTATTTCTTCAGCCGGTTTAGTGTTCTTGCGGTCACAATAGTTTGTCTTCCTGGCTACTCTGGCTCACTGGACTCGATCTCCATCATCTCTGCAGCTCATCAGGATATTTCCTTCGTGGCCTCCTGAGTCAAGTTGGCTCTTGGAGTAGTTCTCCTGGCAACCTAACCTAACCTAAGTAGGTTAGGCACTCTAAGTAGGCACTAGGCACTCTGTAAGTAGGCACTCAAACATACCGTTTAAAACCCCTAAAAGTACTTAACGAGGAACATACTGCTGTATCGGCTCAATACAAATACATTTACACCAGAACATCTAAAAAAAAAAATTGAAAAAGCGTGAAAAAGCGTTCAGAGTGAACACTAATATGTGTACCAAATTACCGCCAGCAAAACGAATTTTTAATTTGATTTATGGTCATTTTTCGAACTAATTTCAGTGATGTTATTATATTTCCAAATCGTTTAATTCCGTGACCTGTATTTTTCACTTTATAGGATGTTAAAATAGATTTAGAAATTATATATATTATATATATATAATTACATATATTAATATATTTTGGTAGCAGTGTTTGCTGTAGACATATATTATTAAATATGACCGAAAAAGTAAGATTAATAATTCTAACACGAATTTTCTCGATATTTCTTATGTTTCTTTTCACTGTTGATGGTAATTGAAAAATCAATTCTCCAAAATTCAAAATAAAAAATGAATTTTGGAGAATTGATTTTTCAATTACCATCAACAATGAAAAGAAACATAAGAAATATCGAGAAAATTATAAATATATATATATATATATATATATATATATATATATATATATATATATATATATATACTGTTTTTCTCTCCTTTCCTCAGTAAGTGGTGTGAGGTGGCGAAGCCTTGACCAGCCCAGTAATGCTCTCTGGGGTAACCCCAGGGGGCGGCGCCCCCAGCACCTGGCCCCGGGGTAATCGATCAAGTTCTCCCTCCTCCGCCTCCTTGACGAATATCTCAGTAATCCATAACAAACACACTACACACACAGTGTTCCCTGCATGTGGTACCGTAAATGCCTTCCCTTCTTCCTATTTTAAGACGTAAGACGTCCGTCTGTTATGGTTCTTGCTTTCCGTCTTGCCTACTGTCTAACTTCATGACTAACACCTGGGAGTTAGTCAGCTGTCACGGGCTGCTTCCTGGGGGTGGAGGCCTGGTCGAGGACCGGGCCGCGGGGACACTAAAAAAGCCCCGAAATCATCTCACGATAACCTCAAGATTGCCTACTGTCTTGCCTACCGTCTGTCGGGAACAGGTAGCGTCCTGCGATCATCGCAACTTGCTTGCTGTCTCCTGGAGAAAGACAGTTTAGCAGGTGCTGCTAAACTGTCACTCCGCTCACTATATATATTTACATTTCAAGCCAAAATAATGACTAACTTTAAATAATAAAGCGACTGCTACGTGATGATGATATTTATTTCATAAAGCTGGTAACGAGGAGGATTTAATGCCCAGTATTCCTAATGCTGTATTTAGGGGAGGGTCATGTATATATATGCATCTATGAATACGTGTGTATATGTATGGATACGTGCACGTATAATGGTAGCTAGGGTTGCTGATGATATGTAGTTAGCCTCCCCAGTGTCTATCTACCTCACCACCAAATGTACATCTACCAGACCAACGAGCGCACATCTACCTGACCCTCAAGAGCTCATCTACCTAACCACTAGAGTGCACATCTACTAGACCACTCAAGAGCTCACATCTACCCGACCCTTGTATTACCTGAGACTGGAGCCTGGACAAAAATTGGAAGAGCTGGACCTAAAATTGCTAGAAAAGATGAGAGACAAGACATGATGTAGACATGAAGTAGTGAGGGGAGGGGGAGGGGGGGTAGACATGATGAAGCAAGAGGAACATGTTCACCATGAACACCAATAACACCAGAAGAACAAGAGTTGCACCTCAGGAAGCTGGAGACGAACACATCGCCCATAGAGATGTTAGAAAGCATTATTTTGAGTAAATGTTTTACGAAAATGGAATAAACTCAACAGGTTGAAAATGACAAATTCATTCATGATTTCGAAAGCAGATAGGATAGAAGTTAGGGTGATACACACGGAAGTTCGACCTAGGTTCGAACCCTCGTCACGGCCCTTGTGGATTTGTTCATTAGGGTCATTGCGCCAGGCAATCCCAGCTGCGGGGAGAGGCACAGTACAGGAGCCGAATCTTGCTTCAAAAGAGAGTAATAGACAACAATGTGTTCACTGGCACGCTGCTACTGGCAGCCACAGTGTACGGAGAGGAAGATGGGGCCTTATGGGAGCCATAGATTAATCCACTCACGCCTGCCACACCTGGTGCTGGGGTGGCACCCACACCTGGTGCTGGGGTGGGAGCCACAGCCAGCCTGCCACACCTGGTGCTGGGGCTGGCAGTCACACCCAGCCTGCCACACCTGGTGCTGGGGTGGCAGTCACACCCAGCCTGCCACACCTGGTGCTGGGGTGGCAGCCACAGCCAGCCTGCCACACCTGGTGCTGGGGGTAGCAGTCACACCCAGCCTGCTACACCTGGTGCTGGGGGTGGCAGTCACCCAGCCTGCTACACCTGGTGCTGGGGTGGCAGTCACACCCAGCCTGCTACACCTGGTGCTGGGGTGGAGAGGGCGGGGTGGCGGCCAGTCATCCCCAGCAGGTCCAACCCCTTCCCCTCAGAACGAGGTTAACAACACCTCTTCCCCTATCGACCCCAATACTCTCCCTGGTGAGCACCAGAGAGAGGACGAGAAACAGACGAGTTATTCTCGCGAGGTCACTGCGTGAGCGAGATTGTCAGCCACAAGCGTCATGTTTCTGACAAAAATGAACGTTCTTTCCTAGACGTCAACAAAGAGTTTAACTCCCATCCCAGCAGGTAATAACACCTCACACACACACTAAAACAATTAGATAAAGATCCTAGATCATAGACCTGGTTGTTAAACGATTTGGCGGGTTGTATTCCGGTGAATTAATTACCGGAATTAAGGATAAAGGACCTGCCCGAAACGCTATGCGTGCTAGTGGCTGTACAAAAATGTAAGAACTCTTGTAAGTATAAATAAAAATAAATAAGTCATCAGAAGCTCAATACGTTGATATTTAGCTGTTGCCAGGAATTGGAGCTAATTACACAATATAAGACTACGTTTCCCAATCGTTTCCATCCACGTCCTCAATTACCGCTCGGTCCATAGCCGAACAGTGAAAGAATGGTGCGCAAGTGACCCACCCTGTCCAGGATTCAAACCCGGGTCTTCTGGTTTGCGAGGTGCGCGCATGTACTGATATATTCAGCTGTTGGTGTGTTGAGCAGGTGTGGATATACTGGATTGTTTCAAGCGAAGGCGAGACGTTTAAGAGCCTAGCTGGATAGGAGCCGCCTTACATGGGGCGGCTAAACCTCCAGGGGGTTCCTCGTCTCACAGTTCCGGATCACGAGTGAAATGTTTCCCAAAAATTACACATTATTGGACTATTTTCCCAGGCGACGGACGTGACCGCTGCGGCGTCGTGTCCCTTCCAAGTGCTCTATAGTCGCACTCACCCACTACCTTCCCCCTCGCAATTCCTTAATTTTAGTGCGTGAGTACACCCGGACGCCAGGTGTACCGGGACGCCAGGTGTACCGGGACGCCAGGTGTACCGGGACGCCAGGTGTACCGGGACGCCAGAGGGATGGTGCGAGACATTACCATGTAGCGAAAGGAAGCTTACACTCACCACATCTCAAACGCTGGGAAAATGTCGCCCGAGGCGGAGCAGGTGGGTCAAGGGTCGGGGTCCAGAGGTCACCAGGTCACTGAACCAGTGCCTTCACTGCAGGTTACGAAGCTAGTATTCCCCTGCGATTTAGCTTTTTGTCACCGTAATTTCACCGGAGAATAAGACAGACGAACACACTAGCACCACTGTGGTTGGTACCACAGGTGACATGTGAGAGACAGAGAGCTCCTCCAGGGCCTTTATTACCCTCACACACTCTTATCATAGATGGATTTCATCCTCTTATTTCAAGACCAGTATGGCACAAGATTCTTTGACAGACAGGACTCTTAAGAGCACGTGGGAGATGTGTTCGGACAGCACAAGCGAACACGGTTTCTTAACAGCACGTGGCAGCAAGAGTCGTGACGATACACTTGTTGCACGCTGCAGAAGCGGTTGTGCAGGAGCGACCTTCCCGCGTGCCGACCAGCCGTCGACTGGGCGCCACCGCCGCCAGCCAGACCGTCCGGCGTGCGGAGCGCGTCAGGCCCTGGCGTCAGGGCACGTCTGTGACCACCAGTCCAAGTACGCAAGACCGTACGCATACACACACACACACCTTGACCCATAACTGACCTTCATTATACATGTTGACCAGACCACACACTAGAAGGTGAAGGGACGACGACGTTTCGGTCCGTCCTGGACCATTCTCAAGTCGATTGAGAATGGTCCAGGACGGGCCGAAACGTCGTCGTCCCTTCACCTTCTAGTGTGTGGTCTGGTCAACATACTTTAGCCACGTTATTGTGACTCATCGCCTGCATTATACATGTTTTAGTTTCACATTGTCCAGCGGGAACTACTGAACACCCTTTACAATGTATCCCACAACAGCTGACTGCATCCAGGAACTAATTTACTGTTAGATGAACAAAAGCATCAGATGAAAGGAAACATGCTGAGACATTTATGTCCTGCCCCCCGGGAATCGAACCTGGGACATCGTGGATGTGTAGCAACTGCCTTTGCCGAATTATAAAAGAATATTGGCTACAAAGTGAAGACCTGTCGCTGATATGGGAAGACTCGGTGGATGAGACCTCCAGCCACAGTTGTTCTGGTGTTAAACATTTAGTCAGCGTATATCATGCTCCTCTCCCCCCCCCCTCACAACCCACTCATGCTCCCCTCTCCCTCACAACCCACTCATGCTCCCCTCTCCCTCACAACCCACTCATGCTCCTCTCACCCCCATAACCCACTCACCATGCTCCTCTTGAGAGCTACTTCTTTAGGATCCTTGGATCAGCCTCTCTCTTTTTCCCTCTCTCTCTCCGAGCTCCCTTCCCTCCCCCTCTTTCCTGGAACTTCTCACCCTTCCCCCTCCCCCAAACCTTTTTTTACCATGCCTCCAGCTCCCCGTCCCCGCGTCCAGCTCCCCCTCGACTTAGGAAAACGTCAAAACTAGGCTTCCTCTTTCCTTAGGACGATGGTGACGCGAGAGCACCACACACACACACACACACACACACACACACACACACACACACACACACACACACTGGCCAAAGAGCCGAAGCTCAACCCCCGGAGGCATAACTATATGAGTACACACACAGTTATATGACAAAGAGTACTAGGAAGACGGGACACCACGAGCGTAGCTCTCATCCTGTAACTACACTTAGGTAATTACTCACGAGGTGTATAGTGGGACTCACCTGTGTGCTGGCCACTCCAGGTGTTACCTGTTGTGGGGGGCCTGTTCACCTTCAGTATTGTATTGTGTTTGGTAAGAGAGAGAGAGAGAGAGAGAGAGAGAGAGAGAGAGAGAGAGAGAGAGAGAGAGAGAGAGAGAGAGAGAGAGAGAGAGAGAGAGAGAGAGAGAGAGAGAGAGAGAGACTAAACCACACCGGTTCCTTTACAAAGAGAGACAAATGCCACAATCAACACAGGTAATCAAAACAAAAGCTCCAGACAACAGCATTAAGCCAAATCATCAGTAAACAACATAAACAAAAGACAACAACAACATCAACACGCTACATAAAAGCCCCCCCCCCGTGTAATCAACACAATCAATTGCTTCCCGACCATCAAAAGCAACAATACCTGAAATCAAAACAGTAATTAGTCAAACATCGATACAGATCCTAACTACAGCGAGCCCGGGTGAGGCCAGCGGGCAGAGGGCGCACTAACCGCCGCTCTCTCGGTGGAATGGCCTGCAGTCGAGATTTCCTTTAGGGTAGCGTTAGTAGGCGTTACCTTTAGGGTAAGGGCTTAATTAACCAGCATTCTTTAATTCCGCCGCGTGATTACTGGATTTCCTCCAGAACAATTAGTGTAATTAGCAGGTGATAACAGTGGTAAGGTAATACTCGGAGCCATTAAGGCTTTGTTACCATTTATTATGGTCGTTTGTTATGGTAGGTAGTGGGATTACGCTGTCTCACCCCCACCATCACCACTCCCCCCTATTCTCACCCCCTCGGTCCTTCTGTCTCCCCCTCCCAGTCGTTCCCTGTCCTCCCCCCCCCCCCCTACTGCACGACGGTAGAGCGACGGTCTCGCGTCATGCAGGTCGGCGTTCAATCCCCGACCGTCCAAGTGGTTAGGCACCATTCCTTCCCCTCCCCCCGTGCTATCCCAAATCCTTATCCTGACCCCTTCCCCAGTGCTAGAATAGTCGTAATGGCTTGGCTGTTTTCACTGATAGTAGTAGTAGTAGGTCTCTCTCTTTACCTCTCCAATCTCTCCAACACACCCTCCACCACCCGGATACTGGAGCATCATAACCTCCCCAACACAGGAGCATTATAACCTCTCCAACACAGGAGGATTATAACCTCTCCAACACAGGAGCATTATAACCTCTCCAACACAGGAGCATTATAACCTCTCCAACACAGGAGCATTATAACCTCTCCAACACAGGAGCATTATAACCTCTCCAACACAGGAGCATTATAACCTCTCCAACACAGGAGCATTATAACCTCTCCAACACAGGAGCATTATAACCTCTCCAACACAGGAGCATTATAACCTCTCCAACACAGGAGCATTATAACCTCTCCAACACAGGAGCATTATAACCTCTCCAACACAGGAGCATTATAACCTCTCCAACACAGGAGCATTATAACCTCTCCAACACAGGAGCATTATAACCTCTCCAACACAGGAGCATTATAACCTCTCCAACACAGGAGCATTATAACCTCTCCAACACAGGAGCATTATAACCTCTCCAACACAGGAGCATTATAACCTCTCCAACGCTATAATATTGACCTGCTCGTGTGGCGTGGGTACTGCCAGTAAGGCCAGGGGGGGGTCTCATTCTCCACATGTATTGACCTCAACCGCGCTCTTTGTATAGACACTAACTCTCTAACATAAGAGTACCGCTTACCTTATAAAGTTGTCCTTATAGCAGCCAAGAGGACAGTATCCCTGGTGCACACTCACACACTGTCAACAGTGTCACTGTCTCACTGTCTCCTGACACACACGGGACTTTAACAGCTTGGAATCTGTCTATACTGAATGGAGCAGAAAGGGAATAGCTCTGAGGCTTCGGAGTGCTTGTTCGGGTGCCAGCTCGTCTGCGTTCAACCAGAATGTTGCGGTTGGCTACTGTTTTTATTATTATTATTATTATTGAAAGTTTTTTGTCTTGAATTATTTTATCATTTTTATTTAAATTTGATTTGTGCAATCTTTGATTTGTTTAATTATATTTTAACGTTTCAAAATTATGCTCAATTTCATACGTGAATTGTTAGTAATGGCAAAATACCATTAATTGATTCATTAATTACTAATATTGAAAGTCACTGTATTCTCTAGATTTGGGGTTACATTATTTAAGCCTCGGCCTTAAAGCACTCCACCCCCGTGAAGGACTCGAACCTTAGAAGGCCAGGTGTAGATTTTACCTATGTGTGTGTGTGTTATCTATGACTTGTATGTTTAAGCAAGTGTACCGTTGTATATGAGGCTCGAGTTTTATATTATATTATATATATATATATATATATATATATATATATATATATATATATATATATATATATATATATATATATATACATCCTCCTATACATATATATATATATATATATATATATATATATATATATATATATATATACATCCTCCCCCCTGTCAATGTATATATATATATACATTGACAGGGGGAGGATGAAGGACACGAGCTCATCTCAAGGTCACGGGGGGTCACGGGGGGGGTTGTCACGGGGGGGGGTCACGGGGGGGGGTCACGGGGGGGGGGTCACGGGGGGGGGGGTCACAATGGCATTTAAACGACTGTAAGTATTTCATGCCGGGTCGCAAAGACCGGTGGGGGGGCGGAGAGGAGGGGAAGGGGGGGGGAGTTAAAACTGCTTTAGTGCTGTCATTTGCAGTTTTATTTTTGTTGATGCGTTTGTTTCCATGTAGCGTGTGTGTGTGTGTGTGTGTGTGTGTGTGTGTGTTTATTTTGCTGTTGTTGAAGGAGATGAAGAAGGGGAATAGATTAAAGCGAGGGAGAAGGGAGGAGTAATGACACACGAAGGACAATAAGACAAGGACGCCATAACATCACAATTAAGGAAAAAAATGAAACGAAAACAAGGTCGGGAAATAAGAGAGAGAGAGAACGAGAGCTGTTATTAGGGGAGACCGCGACGGCTCAGTGGTTACACACTCGCCCCAAGCCTCGCCACCGATTTGCTCTGGGGTCGAGCCCTGGCCTACAGGGAGGATTGACTATTCGACCCTGTTCACCCAGCAGGAATGCTGTAACTGGTTGGCAACCGAGTGACGGGTCGAGTTCTAGGGGAAAGGGACAGGTCTCAGCCTACCAGCGAGAGTGAGAAGTCCTGGATAACCTTTATATAACCCGAGGCAGTAAAGAGAGAGCATTAGGGAGAGTGACCCGGAAGAGGCAGCAGCATCAAGACCACATATCTATAGAGATACCGGGAGAAGGTTGCACAAAGAACCACAGTATTTATAGCATCACTCGGCAGATCACCGATTATTCTCTGCGTGCGTTTTTGTGAACTCACCTAGTTGTGTTTGCGGGGGTTGAGCTTTGGCTCTTTGGTCCCGCCTCTCAACTGGTCAGTCAACTGGTGTACAGGTTCCCGAGCCTATTGGGCTCTATCATATCTACATTTGAAACTGTGTATGGAGTCAGCCTCCACCACATCACTGCATAATGCATTCCATCCGTTAACTACTCTGACACTGAAAAAGTTCCTGCTAATGTCCCTGTGGCTCATGTGGGTACTCAGTTTCCACCTGTGTCCCCTTGTTCGCGTCCCACCAGTGTTGAATAGTTTATCCTTGTTTACCCGGTCGATTCCCCTGAGGAATGTGTGTGTGTGTGTGTGTGTGTGTGTGTGTGTGTGTGTGTGTGTGTGTGTGTGTGTGTGTGTGTGTACAGAGAGTCATGAAAGTAAAA